TGAGGAGGCCCATGGCAGCCCTGGGATGGTGCAGCCAAGGTCTGTGGCAGTCAGAGAGCTTCAGGACGAGATGTTGGATAGAGCAACCTCCCAAACACGTAAGTGCATTTAACTAGAACAAACATACAAAAAAGTGCACCAATGGGCAGCTTGGTGAATTTCCACCACCTCCCCCACGTAAGCATTCAACTCAAGAACCGAACACTATGTTACCAGCACCACCAAGCCCCCTGGGGCAGCCAATATCTTGATCCTAACCCACGGATTGGAGTCCAATCCGGAATCCCACAACACCACTCCTGGGTCCTGGCTTCCTTCATTCAGTGCTGTGTTGGGGGAGTCGTCTGTGATGGCACGTGTCATTGCAGTTGGTTGGTTCTCATTGCTGTGTGACACTGCATTTTGTGTATATTCTGTAATCCCTTCGGCGGTGGAGGGTCATTGGGGTTGTTTCCAGTTTGGGAAAAGTGCTGTTGTGAACATTCCTGCTCCTTCAGCCTTTGGTTGAACACACGAAGGAATGGGATTGGGGGTCCCAGGGTGCAGTGGTCCATTTCTGTTGCTTATAACAAAAATACCTGAACTGTGAAATTTGGGAGAAAACAAAATGTATTGCTTACAGTTCTGGAGGCTGGGAAGTCCAAAGCCCAGGGAACACATCCAGTGAGGTTCTTCTTTGGTGCAATGCAATGCAGGGGTCTCACGTGGCAGAATATGGAAGAGATCTAAGAAAGTTTTCTCATGAACTTTTCCTGTATTTCTCCAACCCCCAAAGACAACCACTCTTCTTTTCTTCTTTGGTGCAATGCAATGCAGGGGTCTCATGTGGCAGAATATGGAAGAGATCCAAGAAAGTTTTCTCATGAACTTTTCCTGTATTTCTCCAACCCCCAAAGACAACCACTCTTCTGATTTCTAACCCCATACATTTTTCTTGTTCAAACTTTAGATAAATAGAATAATAGAGTGAAAAAAAGGAGAGAAAATGGCAGAGCAGAGATAGTTCCTCATGTGCCCTTCTTTTAAAGCCCTCAGGGGCCGGCCCGGTGGCACACTGGGAGTGCACCACTTGGGAGTGCGGCGGCGCTCCCGCCGAGGGTTCGGATCCCATGTGGAGACCGGTTCCCGCTCACTGGCTGAGCATCCAGCAGGCCTGGCCACCACACAGTGACGGCGGGTAATGGAGGCCCACCTGGGCTTGCCTCTCCCGCTTCACACACTCGCTGGGTGGCTCTGAGAGGATATTTAGCCTGTCTGAGCCTCAGTTTCCTTCTCTGTAAGATGGGGTTAATACCCAGCAGGGCTGTTGCATAGATTAAATGAGACACCGTGGACACTGCAGGTAGCAGGCGCTATAAATGGCAGCTCTTAGAGGCTGCAGAGCAGGAAGGACGCTCAGAGATGGGCATGCCCAAGCCTCCAAGGGACAGACGGTGAATTGCTGGTGTCTTGCCAGTCGGTGACAGAGCAGGGATTAGAGCCAGACCCTGAGGCTTAGCGCATGCTCTTTCCCCCAAAGCCTGCGGCCTCAGTCGGCTGCTGGTAATCTCTGCATCCAGTGCACCAGCGCTGACGTTGACCTGCAGCAGGGCAGGGATGGGGCGTGAAGCTGCCAGAGCCCTGCTGGCATCGTCCTGCCTGGCGTAACATGGGAGGCGGGGTAGGGGGATTAGATATCTCTGAGAACAACATCGCATGCTGCCCAGGTGACACCTGCTACAACAGCCCCGTGCCAGGAGTCCTGGATTTTCCTGCTTCCTGCACCTGCAGACGGGCCCCCAGGGTTACTGGCTCTGTGGAGGAAACGTTGGGGCCCCTTCCCCACAGTCCTGGTGAGTGGGACCCCCACTCCCACCCCCAGGTCTCAGCCCTCAGGAATAGGAGCTACCCTGCTTGCAGCTTTTAGACACGGAGACAAATGGAGAGGCCGTGGGGCTTTTGAAGTGTCTTTGAAGGCACGGCTTTCCCTAAGAACTGCAAATCTGCAGGGTGTCATGGGAGAGAGAAAAGAGTGCCCACAGGGGCATGTCTGATGAGCCGGGGCAGGGCAGGAGGTGTCCTGTGCACCCTCGTGCCTGCTCCTCCCCACACCCTCAGACCCTCTGCAGACCCTGACTCCCTCTAACCAATGTGTCCCCCTAAGACGTTCTACATGCTGGTGGCCCAGTGTGAGGCCATCTGGGTAAATGTGGAGGCTCCATAAGGGCCCACTTTGATTAAGAGGCTTTTCCTCCAGGATCAAGGGCTGAGGCTGCCTAAAGAGCTCCCAGCCACACCATCTTGCATCCAAAGGACCAGAAGTCACCCTCTGGGCAGGTGAGACAAACCACTCACATGCATGAGTGGGAGGCCTGGTCTCCAGCCCAGCACACAGTTGCATTAGGAGGGGTCCGTGGGGGCTCATGCCCCCTTAGGTGGCAGTGTTGAGGTGCCCCAGGCTCTACAGAGCTCCGCCCATCCCTCCCACCATCTCCTGGGGCTCAGATATATCCAGAGGATGGTGAGACCACTCTGGAGATTTGGAGGGGCTGTGAGAGAAAGGTGGGAAGAGAGCGCCAATGTTTGCAGTCCCCGGGAACGGCATCGGGCGCCAGGCACCCGGGGAACGTGCCCATCACTTTGGGGGCTGGCCCCACCCCAGTTCTGGCTACCAGAGGCCACATGCCCCATGTCTCTGGCCTGCGTCTTTGGAGATGAGGACCAGACCCCTGACCCCCCTGCTCTTCCCCCACAGGTGCTGGGAGCCCTCCTTGGTCGAGGAGGCCACTTCCAAAGCTGGGACACCCCAAGAAGGCACCAGTGGCAGGGATGTCCACATGGAGCATTCACCACCTGAAGCCCGAGGCCTTGTGCCTGACTCCTGGGACCCAGAGTTCCCGAGCTGCCAGCGACGCCACACGCTCCCTGCCAGCGAGTCCCGCTGCCTCACCCCAGAGGACGCCATCAGCGTGTTTGAGATCGAGCGCGAAGGTGAGCAGCCTGCACAGGGTCAGGGAGGACGCTCTGCTCTGGCCCACTTATCTGTGGGGAGAAGACCCTCGAGTCTCCTGTCCTTGGAGGCTGGGTCCCAGAGTATTGGGCAGTGTGTGAGCATTCAGGAAGGGGGGGGAACGACAGCCCTGAAGTGGGGAGGAGGCATCTGAGGGGACACCAGTGTGCAGGGGGACAGCGAGCCTGCAGCGCAGTGACCCCTGTCACCCGCCTGTGCCTTGTGCTACAGCCTTCGTCTCCGTCTCGGGCATCTGCCCCCTGTACCTGGATGAGATCCGGCACTTCCTGACCCTGTGTCCAGAGCTGTCCCTGGGCTGGTCTGAGGAAGGCCACCTTGTGGCCTTTATCATTAGTTCACTTTGGGACAAGGAGAGACTCACTCAGGTGAGGGCAGGGCTGTGACACCCAGCTCCCTGGGGCCTCTGGAAGAGAGGCCGCCGGCCCCTTGCATGAGAGCAGCCAGATGGTGGGAGAAGAGCCCAGGGGCTGGGATTTCTTCCTCCAGATGGGAGAGATGGGTACAGGCCACAGGCCTGCTGCCAGGGCAAGAGTGCCAGCCCTTCTGGGTCTCAAAGGCCTTCGTGCAGTTTCCTCTGTGGGGCTGGGGTGTAGCTCCGAATTTGGGGCCTTCCTTGGGTGAGAAAGGGAATCCTGACTGGAGGCACTCAGGGGACACCTGCTTTTGGCCTGGGTCAGGTGGCTTGGGGGTAGCAAGTGTCAGCAGAGGTGACCTGGACTCACACCCCTTGCTCCCCCTCCCAGGAGTCGCTGATGCTGCACAGGCCTGGGGGCCACACAGCCCACCCGCACATGCTGGCTGTTCACCGCACCTTCCGGCAGCAGGGCAAGGGCTCCATCCTGCTGTGGCGCTACCTGCACCACCTGGGTGGCCAGCCGGCCATGCTCATGGGTGAGGATGTGCTGGTGCCCTTCTACAAGAGGTTCGGCTTCCATGCCGTGGGCCCGTGTGCTGTCACCATGGGCTCCCTCACCTTCACGGAGCTCCAGTGCTCCCTGCGGGGCCACGCCTCCCCGCGCAGGAACAGCGGCTGCCGATCTGGGCTCCCCACCTGGCCGTGGGTGATATGGGGAGGCAGGCTGGGGTCCCCTTCTCTGCTGTGGGCTCACCCCAGCTGGCATGGAGAGGGAAAGGGTTGGCTTCCTCCCAGCCCAGGCTGCTCAAACAGAGCAGGGGGCTTTGTGCCCTCTGTCCTTTGAGGCCCTCTGGAACTCCTGTGTTCCAAACTCTGTGCTGGGTTGGTAAGTGGGGACCACGGAAGGCATTCTTGGGCCGCTGGCTCATTTCCTCCTCTGGGCAGGTGGGCAGGAAGGAACTCAGCACCAGGGCATCCTCACAGGAGGAGCCTGATGCTCCCCCGCCTCTCGGACCCCCCTTCTCACCCTCAGCCCCTGGAATAGGGGACAGCCCGGAGCAGGATGCGGGAGGGCCAGGGCGGTCTGAGCCATGGAGGCAGCCCCAGAGCCACCCGCCCCTTGGGCACCCCATGGCCCCACCTGCCTCCCCAGGTCTGTCCTTCCCTGCTGCCCCCAGCCCCCACACTGGCTCCTCTGCCCACAGTAATAAAGTGGTTACACCCCCACTGCCTCCCTGGTGGCTCCTCGGTGTGGTGTGGAAGGTGGTGGGCGAGGCACAGGGAATGGACTCCGCCCGGCTGGAGTGGTGGCAGTGCCGTGCCTGCTCCCCAGCACCACCTCCACAGGGCAGCCCACCCCGTCAGCCCCTCACTGACCCGAGGCATGGGCAGAGCAGGTGGGGGGCACCCCGGAGGCCTAAGAATTCAACGCAGCCCTCTCAAGGGACCCCCTGAGGTCTTCCATGTGGTTTCTCAATCTGGTTTCTGGTCCAACTAAATCCTGAGAAGTACAACAAGTTTGCTACTGTCCCTCGGACCAAGCCACTGCCTCCGAACAACTCAGGGATGAGCCCTTCCCCCCTGAAGTGCCAGCTGTCATTCTACCCGAGGTCTCAGGTAAAGACAAGACTTCTGTAACGAATATCATTTAATACATTTGAGACATCGTCCATACAGAGTTAGCGTTACTTTTAAACATTAGGACCATAATATAAGCTGGTAAAAAACAGGCCTGATTGAGTCCAAGCACCCCTGGGAGCAGGTCCTAGGGGTGGCTCAGCCCCGACCCCATGCAGGTGAGTGAGGCAGAAGTGACAGGGCTGGCGGTCACCAGAGCCACCCGACAGGTGGGACGCTAACACCCAGGGGAGGGCTGGGGGGTCCCGCTTCCATTTTCTCAGAATAAGCAAAGGCTCTTGGGCCCGGCCTGCTGTGTCTCCTGCTTGTTCTCTGCCCCCTAGACCACGGTCAAAGCCTGTCCCACAGTGTCCCACCCTGGAGCCTTACGGGCAGTGTCGGCTCACAGGGCAGACAGAGGAGGAGAAACAGGAAGGGGGCTGTGGGGAGCATGGTGAGGACCCCAGCCCTGGGGGCAACCAAGGGAGTGGCCACGTCCCTGGCAAGGTCACACTCACAGTAACGGTGGGGGTGGGGGGCAAGGCACCAGCAGGGACAGCAGCTGAGGACCCTGGGCAGAAAAGAAACCACCCCAGGAGGCGGTCTCTACCACAGGGGGATGGGGAGGAAGTCGGGGCCTGGGACCCGAGCCCCGGAGAAGCAGGTGCTCTGGGTGTCCCCAAGCCTGGGGCTGGGAACACACGGGCCTCACTTCCCCAAGGAACCCGCCTTTATCGACCGTCTCCCGTGGGGCCCGCCCTGTCCGCCGGCCTTTGGCGTGTGGGGCTCTGCGGGCGGGTGGCCGCTGCAGGTGCAGGCCCTGAGTCACCAGCGCTCGGTGAGCAGTGGCAGCTGGGCCGGCGTCAGTGCAGCACCTGGTCCAGCTCGTACTTCTCGCAGAAGCGGCTGGTGAAGGGGAAGCAGGTGAGGTGCTCGATCCAGGGCCAGTGGATGGGGTAGACGTAGAGCCAGATGACCAGGGAGGCGAAGAGGCCGGCGAAGACCAGCAGCGACACCAGGATGAGGGCTCGCTTGCGGTACCTGTCACTGGTGCCGAAGGTGATGTAGGGCAGGAAGGCAAAGGCCAGCAGCAGGCCGCTGAGGAAGCCGAAGATATGGGCGATGTTGTCGATCCAGGGCAGGAGGCCGCAGATGAACAGGAAGAGCACGACGGCCGACAGGTTGAGGAAGGCCTTCCACGGCCGCTCCAGCAGCTGCCAGCTCTGGAACAGCTCCACGAAGAGGCAGGCCAGGAGGCCGAACTGTGACCCAGCCGGGCCCACCTGGGCGGGGAAGGGGACACCGGTCACAGCTGGCTGGACAGCCCCTCTCAGCCCGGGGTGCCAGACCCCGAAGCGAGGGGCCGCAGGGCTTCGTCGGCTGCTGGACCAAAGCTGGGCCTGCTCTGCCCACCCCTCCAGCAAACACCGAGCACTGACTGTGCACATGCCCAGGGTGGCTCCGATGCCATAAGACAACAGATAAGCCTGTTGGGGGTGGCATGTGGTGGGGAGGGGTCGATACCGCACAAGCTAACCAAGAGTTAGGCTGAGTTGATCAAAAAATGGCCATGGGCCGGCCCAGTGGTGCACTGCTACAGTGCGTCGATTGGGAGCGCGGTGGCGCTCCCGCCGAGGGTTTGGATCCCACATACAGACCGGTTCCCGCTCCACCCAGGGTGGCTCCGATGCCATAAGACAACAGATAAGCCTGTTGGGGGCGGCATGTGGTGGGGAGGGGTCGATACCGCACAAGCTAACCAAGAGTTAGGCTGAGTTGATCAAAAAATGGCCATGGGCCGGCCCGGTGGCGCACTGCTACAGTGCGCCGATTGGGAGCGCGGTGGCGCTCCCACCGAGGGTTTGGATCCCACACACAGACCGGTTCCCGCTCACTGGCTGAGCGAGGTGCGGGTGCGACACCGAGGGTCGCGATCCTGTTGCCGGTTCCGGTCCGGTACGGGCATGACACTGAGGGTTGCGATCCGTTGCCGGACACGAAAAAAAAAAAAAGGCCATGCCTGGAGGTCAAGGACGGCCACACAGGGGCAACTGCGGATGCCCAACCACAGACACGAGATGCACTGTTGGGTAGTGGGCATGGTCACGAAGAGAAATGAAGTGGAGAAGAGGGACAGAGTGAGGGATGGTGGTCTGGGAAGGTCTCGCTGGAGGTGATGTCTGAGCATGGGGTAGGGTTGGAGATCTCTGCTGACTCAAGAGCATCACTGTTCCCTCTTGCCAGGGATTAAGGGACTAGCCAATAAGCCCCCAGCTTAGCAGAACGCCCACTGTTGAGCCTGGCATGGGAGGGGCCCTGTGCCCCGCTGGCAGATCCGGGGTGGGAGGGGCAGGGGGCAGCAGGGCTAGCTCTCCTTACACGTCACCCTCCCTGTCCCTGTTCCCCATGTGCCTACCTCTGCCCGGTACGGGAGGAAGATGGCACTGGCAAGGTTGCCCGTGATGCCGCTGAGGATGAAGATGATGGCAATGCGGTGCCAGCCGGCCAGCTTCTCCAGGTCCCGCAGGATGGTCATTTGGAAGACCACAGACACGAGGCAGTGCACCACACTGTGGGAAGGGAACACACCGGCATAGGCCTTCCCACACCTGCCCAACCCGCCAGCCAGGCACCCAGCAGCAGTGGCATCTGGAATGTTGGGCTGGCTGGGCCTGGCCCAGGAGCCCTTTCTCTGGGGGTCCCAGTGGGAGGCAATCACAGGGCCTAGGGCTGGGGGCAGTGAGGAGCCTCTTACCCAGCATGTAGGAACAGAGACAGCCAGAGCCTGTAGAACTGGTCCGGGACCTCTGGGTTGAGGAATGGCAGCAGCCCACACACCTTGTCCAGGCAGTGCACCTGGGGTGGGTGCATGGCGGTCAGGACCCCAGAAAGTGGGCTGTGTCTGAACCCCAATGTGGAGGGGTACATGTGAGCTCCGGCCCCAGCAGGCTGCTGAGCCTGGATTTCTCTGCCCAGGTTGCACTCTCGCTTCCCACCTGGGCCCCTGCCAGGCCTCGCCTCACCTGGGAGCAGAGTGTTGCTTCTTCGTGGAAATAGCCGTGCATGAACTCACAGTATTCCCGAGTGCTGATCTCGCAGCTGGGGGATGGGGAGGTAAGAGGGGGTATCAGGGCCCTGAAGACCCCTGCCCACCTAGCCTGGAGCCCAGAGCCTGGCCACAGCAGGCATCACCAGCAGGAAGGGGGATGCCCTTCTGCAGAGACCCCAGCCCTGGAGCAAGATTCTCTTCCTCCTGCTCACACCATGGGAGCCCCAGGGTCGGGGAGGGACAGTTATTGGAGGGCATCAGCCCGGGTGGGTTGTGTGGTGGTGGTAGAGGAGTAGAGGGCCCATGGGAGTGCTGGGGAGATGGCAGGTTGGGCAGAGGTGGCAGAGTGTGTGGGCCGGGCTCACCTGCCCTTGGTACCAATGCAGCAGGGGCGGCCCTTGATCTCACAGTCCATGTGCAGGAAGCCTGTGTGGTTGTTACTGGCTTGCTCAGTACAGATCTGCCGGGAGGGGGCACCAACGTGGGGTGGGCCTGTGCAGGGGGCAGTCCCCTGATCCCCACCCTTCCCAGACCTCTCTCTGCCAGGGCACTCACTCACCGGCCACTTGGTGATGTCGTCAGGCCAGATGTGGGCACCGCTGGAGGCTGGCTCCTCGCAAGTCCTGGAGACAGAGGTCAGATTGGGCAAAATGAGGGGCCACTGCGCTCCCAGCCCACCATGCCCACCTGCCAACATCCCAGTGGGTGGCTCTGCCAGCCTGGCCGGGGGCTGCCCTGAGACCCATGAGCGGCTCTGGCTGTACCTGGGGTCCTGGTGGCACACAGCCCCTGATGTCCGCTTCTGGCCCAGGTCAGACTTGTCCATGGGGGGCCCGGTATCATCCTGCCACTTGACAAAAGTGGCCAAGGTCTCCTGGAGGACGGAGGAGGGCTGGTCATGCTGAGGCGAGGTCACCCCTGTTGGAGTGGGCAGGAGACCCTCCAGGACAGGGGCTTCTCCCACTGCCCCAGGACTCAGGTCTACCCTCCAGGCCCCCCACCCCTGTCTGACACTCCTGAGATCTGGCTTTCGCCTCTCTGGGGCTGATGGAAGTCAGCCAGCCATTCGGCAGTGGCTTCCACTCTCTCCTGTGCAGGGTGTGTGCAGGGCTCGGCGGGGCAGAGGGGGAGGAAGGAGGGGATGTGGTCACTGCCTCTAAAGGGCCCCTCCCCCAGGCCAGGGCGAGTAGAGCTGGTGCTGGACTGGAGTGGGGCTGGCAGGGGTTGGAGGGCACCACCCGCACCGAGCAGTCCTTCCGCTGGGTCTGGATGCAGCCTGAGCGGTCGTTCTGGACACAGCAGCCCGAATCCCGCTCCAGGTCTCGCTCCCGCCGCACCAGCTGCTCAATCTGGGGGTCCTTCCGGATGCAGGGCGAGAACTTGGCTCCCAGGTGGATCAGGTCAATCTGGGGGAGGGCAGGGCAGGGGGAGAGTGAACTCCACCTCTGCTCTGTTGAAGTCTCCCCTGATGAGGGGGCTATGGGCAAACGGCCCACCTGCCCAGCTGGGGGTGACGGGGCACAGAGGCTCCCTGCTCAGATGGTGACCCCCGGCCTGGGTCCTCACCGAGCTGGGGCCGACCCAGAAGTTCTCCTGCTGGATGTACTTCACGCTGCCTTTGCTCCACAGCATCTGTTGCGGGGCAGTGTAAGGAGGGGCGTCAGAATGGTGCGGTTCCTCGGGGTGGGGGGTGAGGGTGGGACAGCTGTCTCAGAGCCCCATCCCATACAGCCCTCCAGCAAGGCCTCCCCTGGATTTGTGGGGAGGAGGTCAGGGCAGCAGGAGGGTGAGTGGTCTCGCTACCCCAGAGTAAAGCCTCCAGAAACCCGCAAGCTCCGGTGAGCCCCGAGCACCTTCTGCTTGAGCCAGGTTGCTGTGGTGGGAAGGATTCAGGGCCTAGGATGCTAAAGCCTCTTGGGGAAGGCTGGGACCCCCAGGGTGGAGCCTGACTTACTAGCTGGGTGGTGACGTGTTGGGCAAAGCCCACGGGCGCGATGCCGTATGTGCAAATCACCAGCAGCGTGATGATGACATGGACAAAGGTCAGCCAGTAGGTGAAGTAGGGTCTGCGGACGGAGGCCTCGGGTCAGAACAGCCGAACTCACGTTCAGACCCTCAGTCCCAGCCGGGGGACCACCCCTGGCCCGGCTGCCATGATGCTCAGCTGGCCTCCCTCCTCTCCACTCCTATTCTACCCCAACTCACCCTTCCCAGAGCAACTTTTAAGATGCACCTCCAAGTTCTCTCTCCTGGATTAAATCCCTCTGATGCTGTCCTACTGCCCTTGGGATAAAGTCTAAATGGCCCTGCTCTGGCTGGCTGCAAAGCCTTGCTGCGCTCACCACCTCTCTGGCCTCTTTCCACTCCTTCTCTTATAGTTCCTGGAACACGCCATGCCCCCTGCAGCCCCAGGGCCTTTGCACATGACACTTCCATTGCCTGGGGTGCTCTTCCCGTTTCTCTTCACACAGAGAACTCCTGCTCATCCTGACTGCACCCCTCCCCAGCAGCTGCTCAGCCCCATTCTACGACCTCCTCCAGGACACTCGGCATACCTGTCATTGCTGTTTTTTTGTAATTCGGGGTCCAATGTCTACCAGGTCACTGCCAATTGTACACTCTGTGAGAACTGCCCCTCCCCAATTGTCTGGTTTCCCCCATGGTCTCTGTGCACAGCCTCCCCCAGCGTCCCTCGCTCATGGCCTCAGCTTCTAACTGTCCCGCTGACCCACCTGGCCCTTCCTGCTCCATCATTCTCCTGGGCTCTATTCCAGGGCCGTGGAGGGGCAGATCTCAATGAACGTGTTTTGACTGACTGCTGTCTGGGAGCCCGCTGAGGATGCAGGCCCAGAGGTGGGGGTGGAGAGGAGGCAGCAAGCACCTGGGGCCCTGCCCAGACACGCCCCTGAGCACAGGGTGCACATTCCTGCTCGTCACTACGCTCCTGACCTCCAGTAGACACAAAATGCTTGCCAGAGAATCTGGGGGAATTTGGAAACTCCCATACCCTCCTGGGTGGCTCTGGGTCCCTCTGCCCTCCGCCTACACCTTTGGGGGGCTCTGGAGGGTGGTGTCTCACCGGTGGCTGTCGAAGCTCTCCAGCTGCTGCTGCACGGTGCTGCTGATGCTGCGGCGGTAGCTGCGGTTCAGCCAGTTGCCCACCACGCCCAGCCCGTAGTGCCGTTTCTTTCGGTCGAAGGCAAAGTGCTTCACGGTGGAGGCGATGCGCTTGCCACGCCTGGTCGCGGGCACTGGGGCTCGGCCATACTCCTTCCTGGTAGGGACGGGGCTCTCAGCCTGACATGCTCCCCAAGCTCCCAGACCCCACCAGGGGGGGGCTCAGGAGGGACTTGGAGGCTGGGCTGGAGGAGGGACCATGCCCCAGCACTCACAGAGGGATCTGCACCCCATCGGGGGAGACCGGCGAGGCCGAGCGTGGGATTCCCCGGAAGTAGCTGGCAGAGAGTGGGGGAGACTCAAACACGTCATCAGGCATGGAGTTCATTTCTTCCTGGGATGGGGTGGGGTGGGTACAGAAAAAGACAGTATAAGGAGTCACTGTCCCAAACGCTGCCCCCCAACACCTCAATTCAAGGGCAGTACAAGGCTGGACAGACAAGCTCTTCAGGACGGAAGGGGACGCAGAATGGTGACTCCCTGGCTAGCGCCATGCCCCACCCTAGGTCCTCGCTCTATGTGACAAAAAGATGGGGGCACAGTAGCTCCATGCAGGGCCGCACCACATCCCACCGGTGGGCCTCTGGATCTCTCAGGGACCCTGGCAGAACACGACAGACCCAGATCCCAGGCCACCCCATCTCTGCTGTCCCCGAAGGCCTGTACCCCGTGCTTGCCTTACTAAAAAATGAGGAGTCAAATGTGTCTGCCCCATCGACCGCATCCTCTTCCAGGAAGCTGGGGTAGGCAAAGCTGCGTCTGATCACCCGGCACCGCTGACTGGCAGCGTCCAGCACTGGGCGCCCCTGTGCACGGGGCAGAGGCGAGGACATCAGGACCAGGGCCCAGCAACCCGGGTCCCCAAGCCCCAACATCAGAGGAATCATCAGGCTCATCCCCCTGGGGGCAGCACCTGCCCAAAGCAGGGAATGTCTGAGGTTGTATAGGCAAAAGGAACTCCAGAGACTAGAAAGCCAGGAAACGGGCACCAGCTTCCTCTGGCTCCGAACACGCCGCTCTCACCTGTGGTTTGGCGTTATCTCCGCCCTGGTGACCTCCTGCCCCTCTGGCATGGGAGCTGGCACCCCAACACTGAAAGCAACCCACAACCTATACCCTCACCCCTGAGGCTCAGGCCATGTCCCCCCGCTAACCCCTGCAGTACGGCTTCCTGGCACGGCACACCAGGCCCCTGCCCACCTTTCTGACCCCATCTCCTGCCACTCCTCTCATAACTACCCCTCACTAAAACCACATCAAACCACGTGCTGCACCACGCTCCACCCTACCTCCAGGCCTTTGCATATGCCATTCCCTCTGCTGAGAATGCTGTTCCCTCTGTCTCTTTCTCCCTCCCTTCCCTGGCTACCGTTTCCTCATTTTGGGGGGCTCAGCTCATTGCCTTCCCTGACGTCAGCCCCTCTCTTGAACTGACCACCCAGAATGGTGACACCTGCCCCTCACCCTGGGCTGGGAACTCAGCCAGGGTAGTGACTCTGCCCCACACCCCCCATGCCCAGCACATAAGAGGGGCTCAGTAAATGAGGGCGGGCGAGTGGCAAGCACACATCTCACTCCCTACTTTCCCAGCTTACAGATCAGTGTGGAAACCAGCTTCCAAAACCAGGGAGGCAGTAGGGGGGCTCACAAGGGAACCGGGGCTGGAAGGAGGTGGGCTGGCTGCTGGGCTTCAGGGGACACGAGGAGGAGTGGGAGGGAGGGAGGCCGGGCGGAGGTGGGAGGGGGAAGGGAACAGCCTGCCGGAGGGGGGCCCCTTACTTTGAGGAAGGCAGCAGCAGCTTGAAAGCTCATGTGGGCCACAGACATCCTCTTGCGTCGCGGCAGGTGGGAGTAGCCTGAGCGTACGCTGGTGAAGGAGGTGAGGGACAGGACCCCCGGGGTCAGTGGCGGGTGTGGGGCATGAGGCCGGTCGGCCTCCTCTGGGTGGCGGAATGCGCGGCCCCGGGCCAGCGGGTCCACAATCTGGGAGGGAGCAAGGTGGTGAGCGGAGCTGACCAGGCTCCTGCGGCAGGTCACCTACCACCCTCCTGCCCTGGATGGAGCCCACCTTGGGCATCTTGCAGGGTTTTGGAGACTCAGTGCCCTGGAAGGACGGCACCTCCTGGCTGGGAAGCTCCAGGTCCCTCTGGCACGAAGCCTTGAGTGGGCCGTAGCGCATGCTGCAGTGGTGCAGGCTGCGGCGCTGCCAGTGCTGCCGCTTCCCCTCCCAGTCGCTGCTGACCCCAAACCACTGGGCTGTGCCCCTGTGGGAGCAGACAGGGACAGGTGGACGTGTACATGTGCACACCAGTGCACCAATGAACGTGAGGGTGCGTGAAGGGTGACGGCACGTGTGCACCCAAGTGCACGCGGGGGCGGGGACGAGAGGGGAGGGTGCGTGTGTGCATCTGTGTGCCTTTAGGGGAGGTGAGGGGACACATCAGCCTCCCCTTGAGCATCCTGGTTGGAACCCAATGACCAGATGAGCAGAGGTGAAGCCTGGGCCATGAGGAGCCGGGCTGGGAAGTCCCTGGGGAACCACTCTGCAGGGCAGTGGTCTCCCCCAGCTCCTTGAACCCTCTCAGCTTCCACACTGTAGCTTTCTGCAAGGCACATACCCTGGGCCTCAGTTTCCCATCTATGCCATGCTATGGATTCCCATATTCCACCTCTGTGGTGAGACACTGCTCATTAATGCCTGCCTACTCCTGGAAACGGGACCCAGGAGCCAGGTACAGCAAAGGTCCAGGTGCCAGGAATCTCCAGGTTGCTGGGGGTGGCTGGGCAGGGTGGGGGTGCTCACTTGCGGATGCTCTGGGACAGGGAGGCCTGGCGGCGGAAGCCAGGGTGCTTCTCTGAGCTGTTGTCCTGCCATCGTCCCCGTGGCTCCTGGAGGCTGATGCTCTTCAGGTAGGCTGGGTTCTTGGGCCTCTGGGGGAGGGAAGACAGGTTGTGACGAGTGGAGCCCAGATCCTGGGCTGGCTCTTCTTAGCCTCCCAAACTGAAAACCCTGAGAACAAACCTCAATCCCAATTTATGCACTCTGAGCTGCTTTCATTCCAAATTTAAAATCGCCATTTTCCACTGTTTTTCGGCAAACCCCAGCACGCGTTGCCCTAACTCGGTAGCCAGTGCCCTGCCTCCCACTGGGCCGCTCCCGCACGTTCTCCAGAGCTGCCAGGGCAAGCAGGCGGCATGACACGGCTCCTCTTTATGCCCCAGGCTGCGCGGGAAGCCCACGCTGCTCGGGTCCATTTTCAATGACCTCTTTGTGGGGGAATAGTCCGGGCTGCCAGAAATCCAGAAATTTTGATGTGTTTTCATCCTCCCAAAGAAACCAGAGGCTGCAAAGGCAGGCTGCTGATGACAAGGATGTCTGGTCCCCACTCACCTGAGTCACGGGAAGCCACACCCCCAGGAAGAGGGGCTGAGAGGACAGCCCAGGTGATGCAATGAAAACGGCCTGTTCCCTGGTTTCCAGGGAGCCCTTTCTGGAGGCCAGCACTCCTGTTTCCCCTTGACCATCAAGGGACGGAGCTCGCAAGTTCAGGGCCTCACTCCCTGTGATATTTTGGGCCCAGGAAGGAGGGCAGCTGTGCTCAGGCGGCAGGTGCCTCCCTGGGAAGTGAAACCATCTGAGAGGTGTCATGTGGGCACATCTGTTGCCTGCGGCAGGGCAGCAACCCCGCACCCTGGTGGTCCCTTACCTCGGGCAGCATGCTGTCCTGCTCGCTGGGTGCCTGGGTCTCAGGTGACGGGATGGTGATGGACAGGTTGGGTGGCTTCCGGCTCTGCAGACGGCTGCTGGACACTGAGGACAGGCTCCCACCATTCTTGTCAGCAGAGGCCATGGTGGGCACGGGCAAGAGGGCTGGAATGGAGACGGGGGGAGGTGGGCGTGTGGGGAGGCGGCAGGGGCTGTGGGGGCCCTGGCGCCAGGGCAGGCAGCCCAGACCGAGAACCCACCTGCCTAAAGTTGGTGCAAACCTAACTCCGGGACTAAGCACAGACTGCACCTGGGTGCGGTGGAACACCGTAAGAAGGTCTATCTCTGACCTTCACTTGCATTCCAGACCACTGAGGATCTGCGAGGCCCTCAGCTTCCCACCTCATCCCATTTCTGATCCCTCTGCTTCAGATGGGAACCAAACCATGGGAGCAGCACAAAGGTGAAGGATTTGGAGCTGGAGCTGTCTTAGCCGCCTGGTCAGGGCAGGCCAGGGGGCCACAGGGCAGCTTCCAGTGGACGAACGGCCCTGCCTTTGTCTCCAGGGCAGAGCTCGGAGGAGGACAAGGAAAAGGCTCCAGGAAAACCAGGTGTGCTCGGCTACCCACACAGTGCCCCACTTTGCTGGGCAGGCGCCTGCTGCAGCTCCTGGGGCCAGCTGTGCAGGGAACAGGCAGTTCTCAAGGAGGGTCCCTGAGCTGTGCAGCAGGAAGCAGCCACTCAGCCCACCTCCCAGAGAGACCAGAAAGCCACAGTGCTGGTCCCTGGGGCAGGGCAGCCCTGGGGGAAACTGAAACCACCACCTACCTGGTACTTTTTTCTTTTTATAGTCAGAAAATATTTTAACAATAAAAGGGACATATGCTCACCACACACACACACACACACACACACACACACACAAATAGACTCAGAATACTAGAGAGCAAAAAGTGAACGCATGGCCCACCTCCACTGCGCCCTCCAGGGGTGCCTCTCTGCACCTGGAAACAACATATGTGCTTAAGAATCTTACACACACACACTCATACCTTTTTATCTGTAGTGTGGACATCTTACCCTACTTTACCATTTTTTTTTTCCTTTTTGTCTTTTTTTACTGACCGGTAACGGGATCGCAACCCTCGGTGTCACGCCTGTACCGGGGACCAGCAACGGGATCGCAACCCTCGGTGTCGCGCCCGCACCGCGCTCAGCCAGTGAGCGGGAACCGGTCTCCACATGGGATCCGAACCCTCGGCGGGAGCGCTGCCACACTCCCAAGCAGCGCACTCTCCAGTGCGCCACCGGGCCAGCCCAATATTTTACCTTTTTTGATAACTACAAAGATTTCATTGAGTGGACTGTACCAAGATCTACTTCATTCCAAACTTCTGGTTATCTAGGATGTTTTTGGCATTTTATATGCACGTCCAATAGTGCAATAAACACTCTTGCCTCTACTGTGTGTGCTTGTCCAAGTATTATTACAAGACAAGGTTCCAGGAGTGGAATGGCTGGGTTGAAGAGTAAGGACGTCCTGAACTTCAATGGATCTTGCCAAATGGTCCCACAGAGGAGGTGGCAATTTACCCCGTCTGGGGCTTTTCCATGGTCGTGCCGCTAGTCCCCAGTTGCCCTCTGATCCCACTGGAATTATCGGCCTCTGCATGTTTCACTCTCTGTTTCATCTCGGGCTCTGCCTCGTGTCTTTCTTCTTGCTAAACCCTCAGCGATTTCTTCCCCTCCACCTCCCACGGTTCCTGAGGCAGGTCTAGTTTTTCCTCCCCTTGTTTCCCAGGATTGACCCTGGGTGTGCACAGATGGAGGGGAGGCTTGCATGGGAGTGCTTCAGATGAGGGCACACGTGGGGCCAGAGTGTGGAACAGGCAGGTAACGTAACAGCCGCAATTATTCTGAATCCATTGTCTCTCTCCGTCTTTATGCCGCCTCCACCACAGCCACCATCTTCTCTCACCTGAAGGACCGCACTGGTCTCCCAACTCCTGTACCTGCTGCCTCTCAAAGCCCCTACAACTGACCTTTCTCCACATAGCAGCTGGGGTCACCTCTTAAAAGCAGGAATCTTCCCATGTCACTCCCTGCTCAACAGTGTCCCAGGATTTCCTGTTCTCATTTTAGGTTCAAACTTCCCACTGGGGCTTCTAGGCCCTGCATGGCTCTGGCTCTTCCCACACTCTCACTTCCCCTGACCCAGCCACTCTGGGCCTCTCCTTGTCCCGAAACTGCCAAGCTCTGGTGGAGTGGTGGGGGTCGTGGTGACAGGTGGTAGCCGGGCCGGCTGGGCTTGACCTGCACACAGCCTTGCACTTGCTGTTGGGGTAAGTCCCCTGATCGCTCGTCACCTGAGTCTTTACCTGTACCACGGGGAGAAAAATAGTTCCTCTCTGGGAGAAGGTCCTTGGGGGTCAAGTGAGTGAATGCGTAACAAAGACACACGCGGTGTGTCCACACAGAAGCTTGCACAGAAATGGTCACGGCAGCATCACTCATCCAAGCCAAAGGCCAGGGGACAACCCAAGTGTCCACCCATAGGTGACTGGATAAACACAATCTGGTAGGTCTGTACCATGGAACGCTATCCAGCCACAAAAGGGATGAAGTTCTGAAACGGGTCACAGTATTGAGAACATTATGCTAAGTGAGAGAAGCCAGTCTCCAAAGGCCACCTACTATGTCATTCCATTCATCTGACAGTCCAGAGTAGGAGAATCTATAGAGGTGGAAGGCTGGCCGGTTAGCTCACTTGGTTACGGCATGGTGTTATAACACCAAGGTCAAGAGTTCCGATCCCCGTACCAGCCGGCCACCAAAAAACCCAAAAAGTCAATTATTGGTTGCTTAGATTTGGGTAAGGGGCCGGGGGTGGTGCGGGTAGTGACAGCTAAAGGGTGTGGGGTTTCTTTTTGGAATGATGAAAATGCTCTAAAACTGACTGTTGTTGGTTGCTTAACTCTGCATCTACTAAAAGCCTTTGAATGGTAATTTTTTTTTTTTTTTTTTTGTCTTTTGTCTTTTTCCGTGTCCGGCAACGGATCGCAACCCTCAGTGTCGCCCCCGTACTGGACCGGGACCGGCAACGGGATCGCAACCCTCGGCGCTGCTCCCGCGCCTCGCTCAGCCAGTGAGCGGGAACCGGTCTGCATGTGGGATCTGAACCCTCGGCGGGAGCGCCGCCACGCTTCCCAAGCGGCGCACTATTGCAGTGCGCCACCGGGCCGGCCCCTGAATGGTAATTTTAAATGGGTGAATTAAATGGTATGTGAACTATATCTCAACGTAGCTGTTAAAAAAAGAAGAAAACAAACCTCAAGCAGGTGCTAAGTAAATGTCGGGCCTGAGCCTGAGCCTGTCACTCCACGCCACCCCCAGATTACCCTGCAGCGGGGAGGGCGGCTCCTTCCCCTCCTCCTGGTTGTAGCTTAAGCGCCACCTCCTCGGGGGAGCCCGCCCTGCCTGCCTGAGCAGCCCCCGCCCCTTGCTGCCCTGGTCACCCCCACCCCTCTCTGAATTCACCTTCTCCGTTCATTAGGCCTTTTCTGCCTTATTCACTACCACGCTGCCAGGAGGGTGCTGGCCCCACAGGAGGCATCAACACGTGTTTGTTTTCGTTTGGTTGTTTTTTTGGAGGCTGGCCGGGACAGGGATCGAACCTGGGACCTTGGTGTCATCAGCACCACACTCTAACCACCTGAGCTACCCAGCCAGCCCCGCACCTGTTTGTTGGAAAAAAACAGATGCATGAAGCGGCCTGTGTCAGGGTCTAGCCCGCCCATCACCCCAGCTTCCTACCTTGAGTTTGGGATCAGCCTGTGGCTTCCTGGGTCTTGCTGTGAAGGTCTTTAGAGCATGTCCTTGTCCTCTCACTCTGCAGATGCTCTGGGGTCAAGTCTCAGTTCTTTGGAGAGGTGGACAGATGGACAGACAACAGGAAGGAAGGACAGACAGCTCCAGGTCAAGCAGGGCAACGTCCTGTAAGAAAGGAAGGGCAGGTTCAAGAGGGCATGGCAACCATTGCATCCTTTAATCTTCCTGACCTCACTCTCCCCATCTATAAAATGGGTACAACTCCACCTCCGTACAGATGAGGGATTCAAGCAGATATGGAGTAAGGGCCCCTTGTGGTGCTGAGCGGGGCACTAGCCTCAAGGTATTTACATTCAACGGCCTAAAAACACTTCCTTCTGGTCTGGGAATCTCACTGGAGCGGGACATTAAAGTGAAGATAGTCCCTATTTTTTTTTTCCTGTTTTAATACGGCTTTAATAGAAACATTTAACTTAAAAAAATCTAAGAATTGTTGGCTATCTTCTGATTAAGACTTATTTTTGATTAGAGTTAGCCAGCTATTGAAGGCCATGTTCAAACGGTCTGGAAGTGGTGTTTTTATTAATAATTTACTGAGGTGACATTGACACAACATAAAATTCACCATTTTAAAGCAAACAACTCAGTGGCATTCCTGTTTGGTTTTAATAGGTCCTGCGCAGAGCAGAGCACACGGCAGGCCCTCCTCTGAGCGGAGCCCCAGACCTGCCAGGCAATGCCCCAGAGGCTGAGCAGGAACATGTCTCACATGTGCCAGGCCCTGCTTGGCCCTTCTGGTGCTTCATCCCACCCTTTCCTTAAAACACCCTTCAAGACAGACGTGATCATCACTTCGATTCTGTAGACGGGGAACGGAGGCTCAGAGGGGTTCAGTAACTCGTCCAAGCTCATACAGCAAGGAGGGGGTGCAGCCCGGACTCAAGACGTCTGGCCCCAGGGCGTGAGGTCCCCCTGGCAGACAGGCAGCCTCCTTCCCTAAAGCTGGGTACACTCAGGGCTGGAAGACCCCCCTCTCAGGAAGCCAGAGCGGAGGGTCCAGCCTGGAGGGAAACTTGGTCTAGCATTCCAGTGCTTTCCAAACCGTGCTCTCAAGATGCGCAGGGCTACCCAGGGGCCTGAGGGGGCTACCAAGGGGTGAACCGGAGCCTGGGGGTGGGTCCAGGCTCCCCTCTGATTCCACTGGGCAGGGCCCCTTTACACTTTGCGTATTGCATTGGGGCCTTCGGTTGCCAAAGCCCCCCAACTGCAGGTGAGGGGAATGTTGGGTGCAGAGGGGCCTGAGGAAAGATCCTGAGGTAGAGTTGTGAGCCCAGGGCACACCCAGCCTCTTTATGGTTTAGACCAACGGCCTTGGCATCGGCTCCTTCAATCCCAATGTGCTAGGGAGTCCTGACCCCAAACCCCAGAGCAGACCGCCCTACCGTGTATAAGGCCCTCAGAAATCATGGGCAGACAGTCCTCAGCATTGGGCCAGGATGGCTCCAAGGAGCCCTGGCAGCCACATGGAGACATCACTCAGTGGAAGCTGGGTCAGCTCCCTGAATCCTGTGCCCACTCTGGGGACAGCTCCAAGACAACAGCCTCACTGCGGCCTCTGCAGGGAAAACTCCCCAGTTTGGTCTCCTCTGGGACCAGGGCGCAGTGAGAGGGTATCAGGAGGGCACTGCCCTGGGGAACTGGCACCAAAGGGGAAGGAGGCAGGCAGGGGAGGAAGGCAGGGGACGAGGGCGGGGCCACCAGACTCTGGCTCAGTTTAGGTCACCAAGAAGGTAGGATCCTTCCGGAACTCAGAGCTGATCACCTCCCTGGAGTCAGCACTTCAGGCCACCTGCAGCTCCCCAAGCTCCCACCTCCTCTCATCTGAGGCCCTGCACCTGGCACGCCAGGCTCCACCTTTTCTGCCTGGTCAACCCACACAGCTCCTTTAAGGGGAGGTAAAACATCACTGCCTCTAGGAAGTCTGCCCTGTCACCTCCAGACAGAATCGATCACTTTCTCACCTGCCCTCTCCCAGTACCCTGCAGACTTGCCTACATGTAGGTGTCCCCTACCCAGCCCTGGGCAGTACAGGGTCAGCACTCAGCTAGCCCCTGTTAATGGCTAACTGGATGGGAGGCTGGTGAGGTGGGAACATGCCTGGCTGGGGATGGTCAGTCCACATTGACCCTGGACAGAAGCTCCCTCTGGCAGGCTCCACTGAGTGCTGCCCACCCTACCCCTAAGCCCACTGTGAGGCCAGGATGGAGGACTCCGGATGATGTCGCAGGATGAGTCCCCAGTGGACCTCCCATTCCCCGCAAGCACAGCCCAGACTCCCCACCTAACTCCTTGCTAGACTCCCCACCAAACACTCCTTTCAATTCTGGGGTGCTGCCCAGCCAGCCCTCCCCACCCTGAGGCCATGCCACCCCAGCGAGGATCCCCTGCCCAGGACCTGCTGTGCTACTGGCATCTGTGCCAATCTCCTGATGGGAAGGGCAGACACAACCCAAGGCCAAAGGACAGGGGAGAGTGGACCAGCCCTGCGGCAATCTTGGGGGTCCCAAAGAGAAGTGGCCTGACCCTAGAGAGAAGGGGCAGGACTGGGGTGCACTTTCCTGGGAGGAAGCATGGGGCCCAGGACAGCCACCTGATCCTGGGAGCAGCACCAAGAGTCCCAGGCAACAGCCTATGAGCAGCGTCACCCCAGGCTTCACTGTCCCTCTCTGTTAAGTGAGTTGGACTTGGTCAGGGTCCAGTGTGACACACACAGAGCAGTGTGACACGGAGTGCATACACGAGTACACAAACACCACTTCTCCCACCTCTCCACCAGGGGGCGGGCCTGCCCTGGCGACTACCTGCCCCAACTTGTCCAGAAGCCTAGCTCCTCTCTCGGGGAGGAGAGCGGTGGGGACTTTTGGACCCACTCTGGGCCCCCAGTTGCCCCAAATCCAGGGTGTGGAGGAGCACAGATGGCAGAGACCAGGCAGAAGAAAGTGCTGGAGCATTAGAGCACCCCGCCCAGCACTATCTCCTGTGCCCCAGAAGTGCTTGCTCACTGCAGAGGAAATTGTGACATCCTGGGACCAGGCTTCCTCCTGGCCACAGTCACATCCGCTGTGCTAAGACCCCCAGACCCGCCTCTGCTTCCAGCCCATGGGCAGGGGGTGGGAAGTTTGAAGGCCTGAACTACCTGGATGGGCTATGGTCACCTGGCCAAGCCGGATCCTGACCTTGATATGGCCTTCCCCAGAATGGCTGGGAGACGCCAAAGGGGCCTGGGTAGAGGGACTGGGGCTCAGGTGGGGTCCAGCCTGGTGTCAGGGTGGGACAGATCCAGACAGTTCAGATCACCCAAGGTACCCAGGGGTTGAGGCCTCTGTACCCCACCTTGCCCAGGGTCAGTGCCCGCCCCCCATCCCCCCTGCCTCCCAGTCCAGATAGATTCTCAGTTAGCAGCAGCCACGATCAGGCGCATATGACAGAAATGCAGACTCAGAAACCACTCTCCGCTGCTGCCCAGAGAATCCGGTTTCCCCACAAAGGGTGAGGCTGGGCACTCCCAACCAAGCCCTGTCCCACACGGCCAGGGTATGCCAGGCCATCCCCAGGGAGGTCCCCCAACATAGCACTACCAGTGGCAAGGCTGGGTAGGGTGCTGGGAGGTCATCCCTCCCCCACCATGCAGATGGCATGAGCCCACGCTCCTCCTCTGACACAGTTCCAGCCCATTGTCCCCTCCCAACCTGCTCCCAGGTATAGTTCCACCTGCGGTGGGGAGTCCCCTCCTTCTCTCCCCACCTGCCTGGCATCAACACCCCACACATGAGCAGGTTTCTGGAGGCTCCCACAGTCTTGCTCACGGCGGGTGGATTCCCCACGACCCCTGGGCTCTGCAGGGTGGGGAGAGTGCAGCAGCTACAGCCCAGACCGAAGCAGGCAGGACCGAGCCCACGTGTAGCCAGAAAATGGGACAGAGGGGAGGGAGGGGTCCCCGGAGTAAGTAGCCCCCTCCCTTCAAGAGAGGAAAGATGGAGACTATGATTAACCACTGGATATGACCAGGAAGTTTAGGGACCTCCTGTGGGGAGGGGATCAAGTCACCTGAACCGAGGAAGTGAAGAAACCACAACTGGCCAGAAGTCACTTCCAGCCTGGCTTGGGAGCTGTAGACTAGTCGGCTAGTGTCCCTGTCCCTGGAGAGCGGGCAGTCAGGAGGGAAGGGGGGCGGTGGACAGCCCCAGGCTGTCGTCCGGCTGAATCACAGGATGACAGGGCGAGGGCAGGGGGTGAGGAAATGGCTGCTCTCCCCTGCTTCTCTGCCACAGAAAGTGAAACTCCAGCTCCCCTGCCCGGTGGCCCTGCTGGGAGCCAGGGCATTTTTAGAAAGCTGCAAAGAGGAAGCTTTCAAGAGGAAGCCCTCGCCTACTGTGCAAGCCTCAGCAAAACCCCTGGTTCTGCTGACCTCGGGGAGCTCTCCAGTCCCGGAAGGATGGCTCATGGAAAAGCTGCCATCTAACCCCATCCCCTACACATGTCCCCAAGCCAGCCCCCGCATAGCCGGTGACTCACCCCTGCACACCTCCTTGCCCGGCAAGGGACAGGAGGAACAAGAGCAAAGGGCAGGAAAGCGAAAAGAAGGTTGGCCCAGGGTTGGGGGCAGGATTTGGGAAGAGTCGTGAGAGCCAGAAGGGGAAGGAGGGGGCACCAGCAGTGGTGACATGCCTGAGTCAGTGACCAAAAACTCAACCAGCAGAGTCAGAGGAGGGGAAGGGGTGAGGCGGCCGCCAATGGAGAGGGAAAATGAAACGGCCTGTGGGTTCACACCCCACCTCCACCCCAAGAGGTCTTGACAGCAGCCCTCGCCCAGAGAGCCCCTGTATCTTTCTTCCCCTCGCAGGGTTACCCCCAAACTCAGTTCAGCAGTGAAAGAACTTGAGGGGCAGGGGCTTGGCGACCCACCGACTTCTTTGGGCTTTTCCCCATTAGCCCCCAGGCCCTGGGCTCCCCTTGACCCAGTTAGAGTGGCTTGGACGTCACGCGCCAACCACAGACACGGGAAGCGGGCGCTGGGCTCCAGGGAGTGCCAAGAACAGGAGTGAGGGTGCGAGCCTGAGCGCACGTGCATGCACGGGGCGGCAGCAGGTACCATGCACGTACAGCTGTGCAGACCCCGGCTTTCTCAGGGCCACTCGCCAGCAGGGCTGGCAGATGTGTGAATGCCCCCTCCTCTGCTCGGGGAGCCTGAGACCTGTGTCCCAAAGCCCAAGATGCAGCAGCTGCTGGCAAGATACCAGGACAGGTGCCATGGGAAACAGGAGTGCAGCCAGGCCTCCCCAGCTAGGCACAGTGTTGTCCTGGCCACATGGTGCCCTCCCAGGAGCCCCTCTGGAAATCTCTGGAATCCAGAAGCTGCTGGTAGAGGCAAGCATGTGGACAGCAGCTGAACAGGGACACAGGTGCCCTTCCACACCCCAGGCAAGAAGCAGCAGCTCCCAGAGCCTGGGGTCAATGGAGGAAAGTGACTGGGCGCAGCGGCTGGATCCCGGATGCTCTGCCCAGTGGCCCGGCCTCCTCTGGGAGGCTGCGTGTCCCGCCTCAGTTCTGCTTCCCCCTCAGCGTTGCTGTGAAGGGGGAGGAGGCAGAAGACTCTAGAAGGCACTGGTCCATTCGGGGTCAGACACCAGGCTGCAGGAGGGTTCCTGGAGAGGGAGGGTGCACCACTGGGTACCATGTCACCACAGGCTTGGTGTGGGCTGCGCTTTGCTCCAAAAGCTCATGAAGAGTTGCTCCTCTCGGAGGCCGGCCCGTGGCTCACTCGG